TTGTTCATAAATCCAATGCACTACTTGAGGTTACACAAAGAAAGCACATATGAGAGCATGGGCATGCAGATCATCCCTAAAATTACTGATAATGCATTAGAGAATTACAATTTTCTTAATTATTGAAAAAAATATTTATTAGAGTGAAAGAAAACCCCTTCTTTCAGTATGTTGTGTGTTTTTAGTTACTCCTAACACAAGAAATGTATGAAAACACTCAAGACTGGCTAGAAAGCTACAATTCTATTCAACGTCCCTGTGTTTCAGTAATGTGGCTGGCAAAGGGTAGAGATCAGTGTTGATACAACACTAACTGTAATTTTTGTTTTCTTTCAGCTCCTTGCATGATGCATTCCAACCAGTTTATTAAATAAGGCATTTACACTTGTGTGTAAATTATAGGAGTAATTTCACCTCACACTGCAATTTTATTTTATTGTTTTGCTGCTAATTGAATCAGGAATACAGTGAATAATTTGCAACGGGAAAAGAAGTGCAAAACTTTTATTAACGGAAAGAAATCCTTCACTGTCCGTATTTCACAGCTCTGCTCATTAGAAAAAATAGGTTTAAGTTCTCAGATCAAGTTTAAAGCATCACAAAGTGTTTGAGAATGTATGGTTCCTAGCCATTATTTCTATCTGCCTAATACATGTTATAACACAGAAGGGAACATACATACGGAGGAAGCAGTCTGCACATGCAAAGTCCTATACTATTCTGCTTACAGGACAAAGCCATCCGCAGAGCAGTGAATGAATGCTACTGCATACTTTATAAAAGACATCTTAAGCAGTGGCTTTATCCTCTTTCTCCTGGCTGCATTGATGCACTGCATATTTCTGAACACTGCCAGTGGTTTTCTGTGATGCAATAAGTAAGCCAAGGTGTCGGAAAATCAATACATGCACAAAGATCAGTCTGTAAGCATCTATCCTATTACTGGTCCTTAAATAATAATGTGGGAAATAATCTAATCCCATTTCTTTTGCAGGATCAAGAATCAAGGCTAAGACAGGTAACAAATGCACCAGTTTGCATGCAGCACTGAACTCTGCCCTGGCTATTGCCCTCTTTCCCTAGAGACTGAGTACAGGACAGGGTCTGACACTAATCAATCACTGCCTTGGGAAGTGGAATCCAAGAGCTTCTAGCCAGGCAAACATTGATTATGAGATGCTTAATTAATTTCTCTTGTTGCAACACATGAGATTTTGGTGGTAGAAAGCTGATGAATAGCTTGGTTTGTTACCAAAACGCCACTTTTTCACTATGAAGGTTGTCTTTGCTAATGCTTTCTAGCAAATACCATACATGCTGGCAGAGTTCCTCCTCTATGTGTCCCATTTCTGATGGGGCCATCCAGAGAGATTTTTCAAGCTAAATTCTAATTTAAAACCTGGTTGACTCCTGAGTTGGAGAGGATTTAACTGTAATTTGCAGCAAAAACTCTGTTTTGTCATATGCTAAAAACTGTAAGGCTTTGACCATCATCAGGATTTCCTGCCATTAAACTCCATGACTCTACTTCATTTGACCCAGTTTGGGCCCCGCTTTTTTGAATCTTTCCATATCCACAGAAGAGGTTAGATAAATTCTAACAAATAAAATACTACTCAACATAACTGGGACAAATAAACAGTGCAACACACGTCCACTGCAAGTCTACAGAAATCAGAACTCTGCACAAAGCTCAGGAAGGGCTGGAACAGCACTGCAGGCATGCAAAATGGCCATCTGCCCACCCACAGTTTTATAGCTTTTTAGGTAAAATTATTAAGTCATCCCAGCTCTTTTTTTTTTTTTTTTTTTTTTCTGGACAAGTTTCCACTATTATTAATCATAACTTGCCTACAAAATGAAAAAAACTTTACTATTTCCTCAGTCTCAAGAAGCAGAGGAAACAGTTAAGGTTACTATTCGTGTTGCTATTAGTATTTAGATTAGAAAAGCAATACATGTTGCTTTACCACACAAAACATAATGGAAACAAAATACGTTGACTAACTTTCGCATGATAATAAATTTGTTATGACTTCATCTACTTATGGCACATTTAGCAGTCACAATGAAATCTGCAATTGTGACGTTTGTGACTTTATGTCCCAGACAAATTGTTAGGATTGCTGCTTAGCACCTCCTACTGTGGTCTACACTTTTATGTCCTATATAAAATTTGTTGCAAATAGCTTCTTTCCTTTTATTCTTTCAAAGACAGATGCACTGCAAACAAAATTTGTGGTGGCAGACCAAGACTTAATACCAACTACAAACTGCAAGACATCTATCCAACAAAGTAAGTCCTATTTTAAACATAAGTCTAGCTAATTTGTAACATCTATCTAATGACTAGTATCTATGATATATAGGTCTACAATATTCAAATGATTTATTGAGTAGTCTTCCACTTTGAGCTGAGAACTGCAGCTAGGAATAGGCTTAGTATGGGCAATCCTCATGAAAACGTGCGCTTATAGCTCTGTCAATAAAATCAAATGGGCTCTGGTCATCCTTTCAATGTATTCTTTCTAGAAAAATATTGATGTGAGATTAATGAGTATGCTGTATACTGAATGATCATCACTAAACAAGAGAAGAAATCTAATTAAATTTCAAGCTATGGCCTCTCAAGTGAAAATACAATAGTATAATTGTCCTAATAATCATATAGATTCTATAACTATCTTCCTTCTGGAAGTATCTGGTAGGAAACATGAGCTTCACCAGCTTCAGTGAGGAGGTGAAGGTCTGGCTATGTAGAAACAACTGAGTTTTGTGAAAGAAATTAAGGGAAAACAGCTGAACTGAACCATGTGAAAAATTTAAACTGAGGGTCATATCATTTTGCATTTCCTATCCCCCAAAATCAAGAAAATAATATTCTGCCATTGTCAACAATATTATGTTTTTCTCATTTAAATTTAAGCCTACTGGTAGGAGTGGACGTTTACTGCAGTATAATTCAGATGGAGTATTATTTGTATGGACTGCAGTATTATTCAGTGCTTTATTGCTACAGGACTACCTATGGAGAAATCTTATTTGTAAGACTAAGTGGTTAAGATTAAATTTTCAGGGAGACAGATATGCAAGAAGTTATGACTTCACCAACCCTTTTGGTTGATGTTGTTTCATATATGAGAAAAGGACAAGGCCATTGAAGAAGGAGGCAAATTAATAGCTTTTAAGAGTCGAGAGTGGGAGGACAAGTGACATTTTGATGTGCAGAATGACAGATAAAATGATCCAGACAATTGAGTTTATGGAGAACAAAATTCTTGTGCCAATCCATGCTTTTTTTTTTTTTTTTTAAAAAAAAAAAGCAATAGAAGTTGGGATCCAAGAAATGAAACAGTAAAACCATTCTCAAATAAATAAAAATGAGAAGTGTAGCTGAGTGACGAATGGTGAGATAGAACAGGAAAACAGTGGAAGCAGGGACGTGTGGCCCAGAGAAAATGCAGGGTTGCTGTCCAGACTTTGAGAGATACAATCAGGAAAACCAAGGCGCAGATGGAACTAAACTTGGTAAGGGATGTGAAAAATAACAAGAAGGGATTCAAGAGGCTTATTGGGAGCCAGGTAAAGGAGACTGTGTCCCTTCCTGATAAATGAGAAGGAAGAACTGGCTTCAACAGACATAGGGAAGGCTGAAGTTCTACTCAGTGAGCTCTTTGCTTCAGCCTTCATTGGCAGTTGGGCTTTTCACATCTCTTGTGTTCTTGAACCTGTTGGAAGGAGCAGGGGGGAGCAAAATCCCTCCCGCTTTAAGAGCAGAGCAAGTCTAAGACTGTGTCTTGAGACTGAATGTGTACACATCTATGGGCCAGATAACATATATCTCAGGGTCCTGAGCAACTGTCTGATGTGGCTGCCAAGCCACTCTCCATCACATTTGAAAGGCTGTGGCTGTCAGGTGAAGTCCCTGGAGACTGGAAAAAGGGAAGCATTTCTCCCATTTTCGAAAAAGGGAGAAAGGAAAACCTGGGAAACTACAAGCTGGTGAGCTTCATGTCTGTGCCTGGGAAGATCATGGAGAGAATCTTGCTGAAAGCAATATTAAGGTATATATGAGTGGGAGGTTATCTGAGATAGCCAGTACTGCTTCACCAAGAGCAGATTGTGCCTGACTGATCTGGTGGCATTTTACGAAAGAGTGATGGCACTGGTAGACAAAAAAAGGGCAATTGATGTCTACCTGGACTTGTGCAAGGCCTTTGGCATGGATACCACATCGTTATCTCTAAATTGGAGAGAAAGGGATTCGAAGGCAGGACTATTTGGTGGTTAAGACAATAGCAGGAGTGAGTGCAGCTTCATCAAGTTTGCTTATGATACCAAGCTGAACAGTGTAGTTGACACAAAAGAAGAACAGGATGCCATCCAGAACCAAATAAGGCTCAACAAAGCCATGTACAAGGTGTAACACTTGACTTGTGGCAATCTGTATACAGACTAGGAGAAGAAGTCGTTGAGAACAAATCTTTAGAGAATTTGTAGATGTCTTTAGTTTGGAAAAATACCATAAAGCTACTTTAAATTTGAAACTGATGTATTCTATTATATTCAGGTTTTTACCATCTATTACAGTAATTCAAAATGAACATTGCTTTCACTGCTGACATAATAAAATATTTGAAATAATGCACTTTCATTGGGAAAAATACTTAAGGCATTAGCAATTGCAACACCTTTTTTTCTGATTGAAGTTGTCCCTTCTTTATCACAACAGTTACAGGGGTCCCAGAATGCCTTTGTGAGCCTAGCCTTTGGTAAGCTATAACCCTGCACAGATCACAACTACCAAAAATGGATTCTAGGCTTTTGCCTTTGAATACTATATGGCAAACTGTCCCTCCCAGCTGGCATACATGTAATAGGTATAAAGACCGTGATTTAACTCATCCATACTAGGTAAGAAAGGACTGTCCCTCTAGATTTCTGGGAGATGGAAGCATGCAAATATGAAATAAAAGAAAGTAGTAAAAAAGTTGACTAACCTAACCCACCTGAGCTCGGCTCACAGGGATCAATGTCCTCATCATCGCTGGGACATTCAGCCGAGGCCACCAGGATGTCATCTGTGGTCTGCAAAGAAAATAAAAGTCAAGTAGGTATATTTTAATTGGCTTATTATATTCTAAGGTCCTCATTGGTATTGCTTGAATTTATACAAGGCCCAGAACATTCCAGATTTAATAATGGTACAGTGACACTTTCCAACTCTCTATTAGTGGGACACTGCTTTTCAATTTGCACTTGTCAGTTTTTAAAGGAACTGCGTTAGATATTCAGTGCAAGCCCTTAAACATTATAATATTTTCATGCAATAACAGAAAGTACAAGGAAAAAATGTGCACATTCAGGCTACCCATCTTTCCTCTTTACCTCAACTGTCTCTGCTATGATATTATTGATAACACAAAGAGCATTAAAAAACAAGTCAAAGTATTGAGCTGCCTGCAGCTGTTAAAGCTGAAATTATATTGATTGCACTTGCTGCAGATATAGAGCCAAAAAAAAACCAAAACACAACACCAACCCAAAGGAAGGAAACAAAACTATTACTGAGTTAAAGCCACTATTCAGTGAGAAGAAAGGCAAGGAAAGAAAACAATAGTAAATATATACAGTGTTAGAAAGTACCAGTTAAAACATCCTTTTTTCTTTAATAAGTGAAGGATTGCCCAAGTTCTGTGCTGAGCTCAGAGAAATTTGAGGAACATCTGTCCAGAATTAGCTTGGACAGTTTGTATTTAAAAAAGAAGAAAAATAAATAAAAATCAAAACAGAGGTTTTCTATCAGATGGTAGAACCTGGAGCAATACATCAAAAGCAAACTGGGGACTTCCATCTACCTTACCTTACTGTGAAAGAACAAGAAAATATTAAATGAGACACAGAGGCAATCAATCTGAACCTAATAAAATGATGCACCTTCTGTTCAAGCCACCTCTGAGAATAGGCACTTAGAAATATAATAAGAACATCCACAGTCATTAGGGGAAATAATAGCAGAGAAATATAAACTGTCATGCTCATGGTCATTTCTCAAGCAATTACTAATAAGTTCAGGAAGAAGCTTTTCCTATGGGTAAAATGTTTCTTTTCTGCTCATTTCAAGCTTCTCTTCGCCTCACTGAAGGAAATACATGAGGAGAATAAGAAAACGTGACACTGAAACATACAACTAAGGATAAAGTTGGCAAAAAACACTCTTGCTTTCCTGTATGATATGTATGGCAATTACAGGATCATTTTGGTCAATGTGAAATATCATTTTTGGATGTTTGTTTGCATCGGAGAAGGACTCTTAGCACCTCAAAGTTTAACCTCATCAGTTTATGTCTGAATATGTAAATACAGTACTCCTGGCATTTTATGGACAAAGCTTAACCAATGTTATCTATCATATTCTTCTAACTAAAGTTCTAAAGCAAAGCACATTACAATAATAGGCTTTTCTTTGTCAAGAATGTCTTTGACTTCAAGAAATTCAAGAAATTCTTTGTCTTCAAGAATATTAATGAATGTACGCTTTCCACACTTCTGTGAGGTAGGAAACTGATACAGGAATACATTTATTCACATGTGAGGTAGAACAAGGAAAAGCCTATTATAATCACATAAAGATAGAAGACTGAGACATAATAGAATGGAATAATGTGTTGAAGGCATTCAAAATGGCTACAGACAACAGCTATGTTATGTCACAGTTCAGTGCCTTAATCGTAAGGACCACCTTTCCTTATAGTTGGAAAGGTTTATGTAAATCTGCAAGGCTGCCAAACTAAGTTGGCAGATTTGGAATGAAAGTTATATATACATAAAAAAAAAGTTTTCTAGTTGACCATTCTTCCTGCTATATAGCTATAGCAAAAGTCAGCTGCAAACATCACACTGAATTTCTTATGTCCATTTCCTTCTTCCAAAAGACAACCATTTAAACCTGAAAATCAATATCTGCTTAAAAACCAATCTCTGCCTGCATTTTTCCTAAAGTACAGAATAAAAAAAACCAGCCAGGTAACCAACTAACAAAGCCTGCACATAAAAGCTTAACTCTGTACTTCAAAAAGCACTTACAGTAATAAGAAAGTATGAAAAAAAGAGCCATGCATCTCCCAAACAGTTTCAATTTTGTCAGCAAAACCAAAGTGCCATATATTTTTCCTTCTGTCCATAATGCTGATGTTATACTTGTATGACCTGCAGCTGGAATACTGAACACTCCCAGTTGAGCACTAGGGAATTGTGTATGAATACCATTCAGCAGAAAGCATCACGTGCATACATAACAGTGATAGCAACAAATTATTTTCTCTCAGAACTAGTCTAAATGGATTTTTGTTTAAGGGTGCTTTGGTGCACGCAGGGGATGTGTTAAGTCCATGATTCTTGTGACTTCACCTGGAGCTGAACATTCAGGTCGAGTTACAGAAGGATCACAGTGTCTCTCGTTACTCTTTATGTAGCACACTATGGTCAGAGTTTAACCTAACTACAGTCTCTTTGTCCAGTTTCGACTGTAATCAAAATTACAAGAAAATAACTATTGAAACATCATACATTTTAAGTGACTTAACATATGAAAGATACTTTGCTCAGTTACTTATAAAGGGAGGTCAAGCCTATCTTTGTAAGATGCTACTAATTCTAGTGATATCTTGGGAAAGAATGTGCACACTTCTTCAAGAACAAAGGGATGTTCTTGTTTGATAAAAGTGCATGCACACTAAGGATAAAGAAATGAATAACTATTAAAATAAATGTGAAGATACCATGCCAAGATTTGCATCTCTGAGCAAATAAATGAAATAATCTTTGTTTCAAAGTTAATACAAGATATAAAACGGATTTTGTTGCAAACAATAAAACAAGTACCAGTATTTGAATGAGAAGTAAAGTATGAAAATTGTTTTCTTCGTAAGAAATGCGTCAGGAATAATTCCAGCTTAGGTGTCAATTAACAGATGTGTCACAACCTCCCCCTATTCTCTGCTTTCCCCTGAACACCTCTTTCCCATTACTCACATATTTTTAGCATAAAGGCAAACGAGCTGTGAAAGGAAGTGAAATGATAGTGACCAAGCTTCATATAAAAGTCATTAGACCACTTAACACAATTTTAAATGGGATTAAGAATTAACTAAAACACTAGAGAACATAAGCAACACATAAATTACAAAAACTGGGGCAGCTACCAAATCACTCTGCGCAGAAGAGCTCTAACTGACAGGAATCCACCTGAACAGAGAGAAGGATTTAGATCTAAGGGTCTCGGGCAGCCAAGGGGTATACATATATAACACAAGAGCACAATGTTTTACTTACTGCACATTATCTTTTTTGTATACTTTTTAATTTGGATGGGAAGATTTAGAATAAATTGGTTTTCCTGAGTGAACTGCAATTGTTGCTAGCACTATGGCTAATTTCCAGGACACTGCTTAGAGAATACTCATTAATGAAGGATTTAAAAGTCAGTGGAAAATCCCTTATTTACAGCGAGTGCCTAATAGGATAAGATCCAACTGGTATTGTTGTAATACAAGATTGGATTAGAATGTCTCATGGGCAAGTTGTTCAAATTCATTTAAGAACTGATAATCTAGTTGTAAGGGATTGAAAAAAAGGGATTCAAACTAGCCGATGCACAAATGGAAGGCGAAGCAGGACTTCTTTTCATTTCACCTCCCTTCTCTGTCTATTTTCAGAGCCCTCTGTATTCATTCAGTGGTTGTGGTTGTATAATCTGAAGTGTAGCCCACTCTAATAGGTGGCTTCTTAAATAGTTGGACATCTGTTCCCATTTCAGAAAAAAGGATGGTATGAAAAGCTTACAATCAATATGCCAATATAAAAAAATGCATAAAAATCATGCTTTGTAAGGTGAGAAGTCACTACACAAAGTGATTTCTGGCAATTACTCATGGCTGTGGCCACTGCAGGAGTAAGTCTTACATCAGTCAGGTCTGTTTGCAGAAAGTAGGTCTTCAAGATTTGTCTCTTAGCCAAGGGAGTTTAAAATATGACCAATCTGCCACCTTGTCTGAGGAAGGAAATGGTGACTAGTTCAAGAAAGCTCTTGGCCAGATCAAAAAGTGATGCTCTAGTTACGGCTTAAATAGAGTGACAGGCTGTAGCTGTAGGTAAATATCAAGTTGTCTCAAAGATTACAATCACAGGTTCAATACCAGTACCAGAAATTATGACTGTGCCCTTCTTATTGTGCTCTTGGAATGCTATGTCATCCAAAAAAAAAAAAAAAAAATTTGCTTGTGAATAAACAATACAGGAAACCATTTTCTGAGCCATTCAGTTTTTGCATGACTGAGTGTAAATACATACCGTCTTATTTAGTTTTCATGTATGAAACTTGTTGAACCTGCCAGTACCAGAGAAACGCGATCTAAAAATTAAATCGCCAATCTGAATTGTGCATTCATTAACAGTATAATGGAACCTGCATATTTTCCACTAGCGTTTCACCAGCATTCTTTAAAAGCACAGCACCCTACAGCTACTCTGAATATAGTTTATTTCATTCCTATTCAGTAATATACTTTATCCCGTGAGAACTGCAACTAAATTCAAATTACACAACAGTTAAAAACTGATAGACCAAAATTATTATATGAATTATAAACAGTATAACCACTTGTGACTACTGCTTAAATTATTTTGGATTAAAACTTCAGCTCTGTAATCAAAACTATTCTTATTTATTCGTATAGCTGTGGCACAGCTTCCTCAGCTGCACCCCATGGGACTTGTGCTGCAGACCCTGCTCTGGACACACTCCAGGGCCTTGATGTCCTTCTTGTGAGGGATGCAAAACTCACTACACTTGATGACCACTTCCCTTCCCTGCTGGCTGCTCTATTTCTGACACAACCCGGGATGCCGTTGGCCTTCTTGCCCAACTGGGCACACTGCTGGCTCATGTTCAGCCAGCTGTCAGCTAACACCTCCAGGTCCCTTTATGCAGCTTTCCTGACGCTCTTCCCCAGTCCTGTAGCGATGCATGGGGTTGTTTTGATGTAAGTGCAGGACCATTCCTTGGCTTGCTGAAGCTCATACCATTG